GAAAAAAAAAATTTTTGCACTTTAAAAATTAAAAAATCACTAACTTGGAAAATTTACATATCATATTAAAAAGAAAAAATACGTGTCATTTTTTTTCCTTTCTAGAACGAGAAAAAAAATTTTCAGGCGAATCAAAATTTTGATTGTAAATCTGATATGGAATACCCATACATATCATTGACATAACATAATTATTTGCGTATAATATATGTACTTACAATTATTTTATACCAATTGGATTGAACAAGCGGAAACACCCGTGACTTGACATCAGCTTGACCTCCTTTGAAATTCCTATTCGGCATCGGACTGTTCCTACCGCGAGAGACCGTATGCCAAGTCCTCTCACCCCTACCCTTATCTCTATCCCTCTGATTCATTATCACCTGCCTAGTATTATTGTTGGAACTATCCGCCATTGGAATGTCCTCGTCCAGTAAATTTGACAATATCAAATTAGGTGACATATCCCTGTGATTTGGCCTAAGTGTCTTAAACGACACGCGATGTTTGGTAGGACGGACGTGAGGTCCACCATCCCTTCCTACATTTTGTACCATCGTACGATCATCGTGACCTAAAAGCAAATTTATGATAAAGCAATAAAATTACACAAAAATCATTGTTTATATCTTAGAACAGATTATTTTGCAGGCAATCAATATAAATGTGTATATATTTAATATTCAGTCATTTTTTATTGCAATTCCTCAAGATCGCACGATCCGAATATTTCATGATGTCGTGCAGATAACCCTGGGATAACATAGCCGTTCGGTTTCCTGTAAAACGTCTTATAATTATCTTGTAGTGCCATTTCCAATTAATCAGACGTCGACTGCAAAAATTTAGTTATTTCGCAAAGCCACTTTCGAAAAAAGATCGGAGGCGATTTTTACAATTTTCTACATCGACAGAAGGTGCGGTGTCACAATCCCGTTAACATCGCGTTCGCGAAAGACGCAGTTCGTTACAAAACTCTCTCGCTCGCTCGCTCGAGATAAGATAAGGTCGATTCAGACTATATACGACACGGACCGTCACGTTCCGGCAACGACACGGACCGGCACCGACCTGCATCATGCAGGTCGGTGCCGGTCCGTGTCGTTGCCGGAACGTGACGGTCCGTGTCGTATAATCTGAATCGACCTTTATTCGTTAACAAATTGATTTGCCACTTTTTCTCCCGCGCAGTTAATTTCCTCCGTATCGCGCGACCGACTTGATCATCCGCGCTGCAGAGACGCGCTTATCAAAGCGGGAAAAAAAATTGCGCAGTTGCATACTCCGCACGGAGCAGAGCGTTCATCTTGTCTTCTCGTATGAAACACCAACGGACCGTTGCAACGCGTACGCAAAATGAACCGAACGGATAAACGCGGGCGAGATATCATTTCGCGCTCCCGCGGGAGAAAACCGCGAGCCCGAATCGCGCGTAGCGAGCCGTGAAGCGGCTGAGCACTCACCAAAATACCCTTTGTTCTCGTTTCCTCGGTTGTTACGTCGGCCGCCCCATCTATTGTTGCCTGACCTTTTCGGCATCTTGCTCGAGTCCACGGAACCCAAGGGATCCACGAAGCTAGACGCGAGACCTAAACGAAAACCGCGAAACACCTCGTTAACAAATTGATTTGCTACTTTTTCTCCCGCGCAGTTAATTTCCTCTGTATCGCGCGACCGACCTGATCAATCCGCGCTGCAGAGACGCGCGTATCAAAGCGGGGAAAAAATTGCGCAGTTGCATACTCCGCACGGAGCGAGCGTTCATCTTGTCTTCTCGTATGCAACACCAACGGACCGTTGCACTATGGGACGTTTCGCCTATTTTCTGGCCAAAAGTGGCAAAAATCAAAGTCGAAGTTCATAATGTTTAACGATTGGAAAAGTTTTTATAAACATTAGTGAGACACGGAGAAAAATTCAAGACCATTTGTTCCACGCAAAGTATTTTTTCTGTCGCATTTTGTGTTCGAAAGTGTGTAAAAATGTACCTTGAAATCACGAAAGATTATTGTTCCTTTGATCTTTTTTTTTCCTCCAATGTTGAAGACATACAAATCACTGGTTGAAATACTTTTTTAGCATAAGTTAATGCTTGAAAATAATAAGAATAAATTAAGCTTTGGCCATTCTGGAGGGGAGAACTTTAAACTTGAATTAGAAAAAGTAATGATTTTATCAGTTTCTGATATTTAAAAGTCTAGAACTTCCGAATAACAAACAATAACAAGGCGATCTTTGGCTTGAATATTAGGTGGGACTCTACTTTTCCTAAAACCGTTTCGTAAATCGCCGTCTAGAACCGTCTCCGGGAGATATAATTTTTTAAAGTAAAGACAATCGACTATTTTCTTCTTAACAAGTTCGTGATTAAGCTAAGCGATATCACAGTGGGACGTTATGTAGGGGTTTTTGAGGTTGCTGATTTTGAATATGACATTAAAAATTATAAATACAAAATGGCGGATCTAATATGGCGCCCAAAAATATGAAAAACTGCTTTTTTGCATACAAATGAAACGTAAACGGTGTCCGAGGGGTTTTTGAGTTCGCTAAATTCTAATTTGAAATCAAACTAAATGTATATAGAAAGTATATAGAAGAAATGCAATCGTTATGATGTACGAGTAAATATGTGCATTTCGTGCCATGTGGGTATGTCATCCATTCCTAATCTTTAAGATCTCTGGTAAAGGGCTTTACAGCCTACTCGTGATGATTCCTAAATGGAGAGTAAGGAAGAGCCCCGGTGCTGTAAATAAACCCTTACCCGATGAAATTTAGGATGAACGGGCAGCACTGAGGAGAATGGATGAATATACACACAAGGACAGAAATACTGATGACAACTTGGACCCTGGAGCGGATAGCTTCCACGACTTGGGTAGAACCGGCCATCAGGTCACCCTTCCAGAGATTGTTCTGGAAGCTGATGGATTGCCAGTAGGCTCAAGTTCGTGTTCCTGGACTGGTGACACTATCCTTTCTGGAAACGAAGGTCGCTGCAATATTGACTTTGCCATAGGAATGGACACGATGAAAAATTCCGTGTTGGATCTGCCGGGCAATATTGCAGTAGTACCAGAAATCTCCGTTGGGCGGAAACGACACATTCAGAATGTTTCGAAAAGATATTTAATTGAAACATTTTTCTTTAATAAAGACGTACAAGGTTGTTACCGGTATGTCTTAGAACATCTTGGGCAAGAAATAGATGAGGAACAAGAAAAGATTCTTTTACAAACCGTTCGTTCTTTATTTAGTAGATATAAAAATTATTTTAATAATGTAGGCCAACATATAAGACTGTTTAAAACTAAGTATAAAAAATGGTTGGACAGTGATTTCATTTATCCAAAGAATGTTTTACAAAAGCCCAAAAAAATGTTGATGTCAGAACAATCTGAGAGTGCTTCTTCTTCGAAATCAGGGCGTCCTGAAAAAAAATTCAGCCAAAAATCACTGAGATCTCAGAGAAGAGATGCCAGCAAGTTGTCTACTGAAGTAAGTAACAACACCTTACAGCTTTTGATGGCTGCAAAAGTATCAGCAAAGAGAAATAAAGATAATGATTTAGCATCCGTTATTAGTGAAGTGTTGAAAACCCCTACAATTGTTAAGAAAATTAGAACAAGCTTAACTGAAAATAATGTAGTTATAAAAGCTACTCCTGCTGAAGCTATGGCTCATTTAATTGATAACAATTTATCAAAAAGCCAATATCACCATATGCACATGGAATCCAAACGACGAAATGCTGATATATGGCCAAGATATGAATTGGTACGAATGGAAAAAGAACAGTGTTATCCGAAAGGTATAATCGTCACAGATATAACAGCTACAGTTCCACTTCAAAATTTCCTCGAACATAGAGTGAAGCGCCTAATAGAAATGCAAAAAGAGGTTATTGAAGCTGACATGCAACAAAAATCTTTGCAATGTGTTGAAGCTACATTGATATCATCATGAGGTTTTGATGAATCTAGTGATCACTCTACTTATAATCAACACTTTAATAGTTCAGGTGAATCAGTTGGAACAACGGATACTAACTTGATAGCTACAACGACCATTCCATTACGTTTAGTTGCTAAACATGGTGCAATATATTGGTGCAATAGAACTCCACAATCAATAAGATTTTGTTCGCCAATAATGTTAGAGTATAAAAAAGAAACTCCAGAAAATATTAGAGCGACAAATGAGAAAATGAAAGAACAGATTAAAAATTTGCGTCCAATTACATACGAATTTTCCAGTGGCAATAAAAAAATTATAGTCTCCTGTTCCTTCTTTTGTACTCTTATAGATGGAAAAGTTTTAAGTATTTTGACTGGATCTTCTGGATTTGCTAATTGCCCAATATGCCACGCCAAGCCAAATCAGATGAATGTAATTACAAATTTTGGTACTCCTGCATTCGAACCGAAGCCAGACACATTACAATACGGGTTGTCTACACTACATATGTGGATTCGTTTTTTCGAATGTTTATTACATATATCATATCGTATTGAATTAAAGGTTTGGAAAGTTACAGGAGATAAAGCAAAAAATATTATGAAAGAAAGAAAAAGACAAATTCAGGAGCGATTTCGAGAAAAATTTTCAATGTCAGTAGATCAACCAAGATCAGGAGGTGTTGGAACTAGTACTACTGGAAACGTTTCCAGAAGAGCGTTTGGAAAGCCGGAACTGTTAGCTGAGGTATTAGATCTTGACGTAACGTTAGTTAAAAATTTCAGAACAATTTTACTTGTTTTGAACAGTCAACTTCCAGTTGATCCTATTAAATTTCAAAAGTTTTGTTTTGACACAGCGAAGATTTTTAACGAGAAGTATGGATGGTACAAAATGCCATCAGCTGTTCATAAAACACTTGCTCATGGAGCACAGATTATATTAAACTCTCTGCTTCCTGTAGGCGTCTTCGGAGAAGACGCAGCAGAAAGTCGGAACAAATATTATAGAAATGATAGATTATATCACGCACGAAAAACAAGTAGAGTTGATAATTTGACAGATATGTTTAAACGTGCCTTAGCAAGTTCCGATATTATAATTTCAAGTATTAGCTTACAAAAAAGAATTAATACAAGAAAGCGTAAACATTTTCCACCAGAGGTTATAGATTTACTAGTTATTAATGATACAGACTTTGACATTAATTTAAAAGATGATGATATTTTAGATGTTACTAGCGACACTGAAGATGCAGACGAGTGCAACTTCGAGCTTGAAAATATAGCATTTCATTTAGACGATCTTGATATAGAAATGGAAGACAAAAATATTGAATAAGTCGTTACTAATTAATAAGTTTTAACAGTCATTTTCAATATCAAGTTTTGATCGACAATTTTATAATATAATTTTGTCGGGCGCCATATTGGATCCGCCATTTTGTATTTATAATTTTTAAGTCATATTCAAAATCAGCGACCTCGAAAACTCCTTAGAAACCCCCCAGGTTTCATCTTTATGCAAAACAAGCAATTTTTAATATTTTCGGGCGCCATATTGGATCCGCCATTTTGTATTTCTAATTTTTAATGTCATATTCAAAATCAGCGACCCCAAAAACCCCAATATACGGACGTTTATCTCATGAAAACAAATCTTTGATATTTTGGCCAAAAAATAGGCGAAACGTCCCATAGTGCGTTGCAGCGCGTACGCAAAATGAACCGAACGGATAAACGCGGGCGGGATATCATTTCGCGCTCCCGCGGGAGAAAACCGCGAGCCGGAATCGCGCGTAGCGAGCCGTGAAGCGGCTGAGAGCACTCACCAAAATACCCTTTGTTCTCGTTTCCTCGGTTGTTACGTCGGCCGCCCCATCTATTGTTGCCTGATCTTTTCGGCATCTTGCTCGAGTCCACGGAACCCAAGGGATCCACGAAGCTAGACGCGAGACCTAAACGAAAACCGCGAAACACCTCGTTAACAAATTGATTTGCCACTTTTTCTCCCGCGCAGTTAATTTCCTCTGTATCGCGCGACCGACCTGATCAATCCGCGCTGCAGAGACACGCTTATCAAAGCGGGAAAAAAAATTGCGCAGTTGCATACTCCGCACGGAGCAGAGCGTACATCTTGTCTTCTCGTATGCGACACCAACGGGCCGTTGCAGCGCGTACGCAATATGAACCGAACGGATAATGTTTGTCTAGTTAATGGCTCCCGGTCCAATCACTGGACCGATACGGCCACGACGAACCAATAGACGTTATATAGGGTGCAGTCAGGCTACCGCTATAAATGCTTCGAAGCGTTTCTCCTCTCTTTTTATCTTTACCGAAAGAAAAGAGAAGAAGAATACTTCGTAACATTCAAAGCGACAGCTTGACCGCAGCCATAGTTAAGCGATTGCTTGAAGGTAATGTACACGCACCGGCATAAATGCTGTCCCTATCCTTGTGAGGTGCACGCACACAACTAGAGTCCCTGTAGTTGTGTGCGTGCACCTCACAAGGATAGGGACAGCATTTATGCCGGTGCGTGTACAAAGCGAAGGTCCCGACTATCGGGTCTCGCGCGGGATGATGCAACCCCGCAGGATCAAAAATTGTTCTTCTAGGTTAGAAGGCGTGTCGCACGCTCGACGTCCCGAACGGAACTTAACCGAACGGATAAACGCGGGCGGGATGTCATTTCGCGCTCCCGCGGGAGAAAACCGCGAGCCCGAATCGCGCGTAGCGAGCCGTGAAGCGGCTGAGAGCACTCACCAAAATACCCTTTGTTCTCGTTTCCTCGGTTGTTACGTCGGCCGCCCCATCTATTGTTGCCTGATCTTTTCGGTATCTTGCTCGAGTCCACGGAACTTAAGGGATCCATGAAGCTAAACGCGAGACCTAAGCGAAAACCGCGAAACACCTAGCTACTATCTCTATCTACTCGCACAACCCTACTCCTAACCTCGAACTTCGCCTAACGATTCTCTTTGCCCTTCACTCTTCCGAGCTACGCAAGCACATCCGAACCCTAATGACGCTGTGGTACGAATGAACGAGAAACGAGCGAGATGCGCGGCTCACGCGGCTGTCGCCTCGGGTCGAGACGACGCTGCGCGCGCATGCGCAGAGGGGGAGCCGCCGATGACGACGCGACCGATGATTGGCCGAACGGCGCGGCAGCCGCGTACTTTCCCCGAAGGGCGGTATTGCTTGTGGAAATTTTTCTTCTATCCTTCTTCGGCGCGTAACGAACGACGAGGATAGAGCTGTCTAGACAACGTAGATTTATACTTCTGCAAACATCCTAAGAATTGGCCGTCAATTTAAACGTCCCTGGCTGCGTCGTCGTTAGACGACCGTACGTTGAGCCCGGACGTTGACCCCGTCCGCCTTTTATCTTCGTCGTTCGTTACTTCTTCTTCTTCTGGTAATGGCACTCGGCGCCCAGCAACGGCTGCCGACACGGCCAAGACGAGTCGTTCGTTACACGCCAAAGGAAGGTAGAAGAAAATATTTCACAAAGAGCACCGCCCTACGGGGAAACTACGCGGTTGCCGTGCTCTTATACATATAAAGGATTTATAATATCCTATCTAGTACTATAATAAATATTTGCGATAAATTAAAAATAAATATTTGTCAAATATTTACAAATGTTATTTGTTAGGATCTCCAGATCCTTTTTCAGAGCATTTCACATACTTTGGAAAGTCTTGAGCGTATTATGCAGATTGAAATTTGAGAAGATTAATCTAAAGACAATAAACAGTAATAACTTTGAGTCATTCTGCGCTGTATAATTGGAATTGGAAACCTATATAGTTAACCACTCAGTGACAGAAAAAGGAAAATTTGAACAATATATGTTGTCTCTGTGTAAAAAGACAAAGGAAGGAAGGACATGATTCCCGATTCATGATCCTTCATTATATACGTAACCTCTTTAGATTAAAAAAATGGAAGGCACTGCTGCTAATTGGCATTTGCGCTCTTGCTTCCAGAATAAGCGTTCTGTTGCAAAGTTTGTATCCCTCTGTAACGCAGCTGACGGAGCTGCACAAGTGTCCATGCAGCGTGTTATGGGGTTTCCGCGTGCCGTAACATTCACGAGATCGATCTCTCGTGGAACGAGGTCAACGCTATAATCTTCCACTTGTTTGGCGTTAAAAATGTATTCTTCGGAACGTATAATCAAAGCAAGGTGGTGCTGAAGAAGCTGGCACACTCTTCCGAGTTAAATGCGCTTGACGTTACGTTGTGCAACACGCTCCATTTGGGACATCCCTGCTCGATCCTTGGTCCATTAGTCCCAGTCTACAATAGATGATTTAAGCCCT